ACAGATGTCAGCCCCTCATCCAGGCTGGCCAGGCACCCCAGTGGGGACCACCACCCTGAAGGGGGTGTGGGCAGCCTGAAAACAGCCATCAATCCCTCATCCAGGTTGGCCAGGCACCCCAGTGGGGACCCTCACCCTGAAAGGGATGTGACCAGCTGCAAACAGCCATCATCCTCTCACCCAGCCTGGCCAGACACCCAAGTGGGACCCCACCCTGATCCGGGACACCCTTCGCGGCATACCAGCTGGCCCCCATCTGTGCACCAGGCCTCTATTCTTTATAGTAAAAGGGTAATATGCAAACTGACCCTAACAGCAGAAGGACTGGGAATGACTGGTCACTATGACACACATTGACCACCAGGAGGCAGATGCTCAATGCAGGAGCTGCCCTCTGGTGGTCAAAGCTGCCCTCTGGTGGTCTCACATGGGAGGAGCTCTGCTCAGCCACAAGCCAGGCTGATGGCTGCAGGTACAGTGGTGTTGGTGGGAGCCTCTCTTCCCTCCTTAGCACCACTAAAGATGTATGACTGCAGTTTAGGCTGCTCCCTGCTGGCAAGTGGACATCCCCTGAGGGCTGTCAGAGGGATGTCTGATTGCCATCTTAGGCCCAATCCCCCCGGGGAGCGGGCCTAAGCCTGCAGGTGGTCATTCCCTGAGGGGTCCCAGACTGTGAGAGGGCACAGGCCGGGCTGAGGGACCCTCCTCTTCCGAGTGCACAAGTTTTTGTGCCTGGGCCTCTAGTGTTTTTATAATTGTGGTACCGTGCAGTTTTTTCATTGCACTAAAAATCTTTTCTGTACTCCTTCCCAACCAATCTTTTTACTGTTCACATCATGTGCCTTTTCCAGATATCTTACAATTGTATTCAGAGACTAGATAGTTTTTTCAGATTGGCTTCTTTTATTCAGTAACTAGTAGCCCTGTGCGTGAATCCGTGTGCTAATAGCTCACTGCCACCCTCCAGTAGCTCTTTGCCTACTGCCCCGCCCTCCTATAGTTCTCCCCACACTCCCTAATAGATTGCTGCTCTGACCCCTCCTGTAGCTCTCTGCTTTCTGCCCCACCCTCCTCTAGCTCCCTTCAGCTCCCCGCCCCCCTCTCATAGCTTGCTGCCCTGCCCCTCCTGTAGCTCTTTGCTGCCCACTTGTAGCTCCCAGCCCCACCCTCCTGCTGATCTGTGATATGGTCATTATGCAGTTGGTCGTTATGCGTCATGGCATAATGACCATTTGCATATTATATCTTGATTATATAGGATATGTATTCAAGGTTCCCCCTTTTTTTTTCTTTTTTACAGCCTGATGTCTCATATCTGTTGAAGTCTGAATAACATTGTTTGGATGTATCATAGTTTATATCTTCATTCACATACTAAAGGACAATTGCCAAATTGTGGCAATTGTAAATAAAGATGTTATAATCAATTTGGGTTTTTGTAAATGTCCTTCTTTAGTTTAAGTAGTTTCCCTATATTCTTTTTTTTAATATGTTTTTATTGATTTCAGAAAGGAAGGGAAGGAGTCATAGAAATACCAACGATGAGAGGAAATCATGGATCAGCTGCATTCTGCATTCCTCTTACTGGGGATCAAGCCCACAACCCAGGCATGTGCCCTAACCAGTAATCCAACTCATCACATTCTGGTTCATGGGTCAATACTCAATCACTGAACCACACCGGCCAGGCAGTTTCTCTGTATTCTTAATATGCATTGTTATATATTATCAGTGGAGCTGATCTTAGGGTTGTTTTTTAAGTTATTCTATTAATGTCAAGTATTACATTGAATGATATGAATATGTTGAATCATCTCTCATTGAGGGATATAAGTCCTACTTTTTCAATAATTTCTTTTATTATGCCAGTAAATTAATTTTGGCAGTATGTTTGAAAATTTTTACATGATATTCCAAAAGGGTGTTGTCTTTTGTTTGTTTGCTTGTTTTTTGTTTTATTTTTCCGGGCCTAATCTTTGGTTTGGGGATCAGTATAATACTGACCTCTCAGAATATGTTACGAAGTGTTCCCTTCCTCTTTATTTTTTGGAAAGCATTTGAGAAAAATTGGTAGGTTTTCTGTAAATGTTTTGTAGAATTCACCAGTAATGTCAAAGGATCCAAATCTTTTTTTTAAAGTGGAAATCCTCTCTCCCTTTTTAAGGTGGAAATATTTCAAATGCTGAGTTAATCTCTTCACATATAAATTTGTTGAAAATTACCTATTTTTTAAAAGTTAGTTTTGATAATTTATGTGTCTGTGAGAATTTAATTTCATCTGTTACATAAATTTATTATACAA